ACGAAACGAATTTAAAAATTCGTTTCGTTTTTAAGTTGCTCCAGAATGGTTCGTTATCGCTTCGTTATATATTTAAAAAAATAACGAATTTTTAACGAGTTACGAATTAACGAAACGAAACCGCCCAGCCCTAATAAATATATATGGAAGTATTGCTACATTGTTCCTTCATGAAATAACATGGACTTTTTTTGTTTGTAGTGTATTAATTATTAGCAATGTTGTTACCAAGAAGCTGAGATCTAACTATGACTAGCTTCTGTTTAAGAATTTGTATGGTTGGAGCTTGAAATTATCAGTCAGATAAGCCTGATAATTACTTTTTTAAGGCAGGTTATTGAACTGGTGTTTGATTTATAAAACAGTAAGATTGCTTTCCTCACAGAAAATAACCAGCATTTTTCTTTCCTTTTCTTTAGATATCATTATGGGGCAATAAGTGTGACTTGTCAATTTCTGGTGGGGCAGATAATTCTCAGAAGGCTAATCCATTACAGTCCATGGAAGAGTTAAAATCTTTTATCTTGGTAGATCACATGGAAAAAGTGTGGTCATTGCTTATAAATATGAAGAGGAAAAATACACAGACTACTAGGCTTGATATAATCCTGGATAATGCTGGCTTTGAGCTTATTGCTGACCTTGTAGTGGCTGACTTTTTAATATCCTCAGAATTAGCTAATGAAATTCATTTTCATGGAAAAAGTATGCCATGGTATGTGTCGGATACTACAAAACGTGACATGAATTGGGCAATTAAACAAATGCAGTCAGCTAATCACAAGTGGATGTCTCGGTGTGGGGTCTCCTGGGAGGGTTATATGAAAAAAGGAAGTTGGATTTATCATGATCATTTGTTCTGGACTTTGCCTCATGAATTTTCTAATATGGCTCAAGTTGCTCCTGACTTGTACACTGAGTTACAGAAGTCAGATTTCATTATTTTCAAAGGGGATTTGAACTATAGGAAATTAATAGGTGACCGAAAATGGGAATTCACTGTGCCGTTCCATCAAGCTTTGAACAATTTTCACCCTGCTCCTCTCTGCAGCTTCAGAACGCTAAAGTGCGATATTCAGGTTGGGTTGAAACCAGGGCAGGGTGAACAGCTGACAAACACCGAACCTGAATGGATGATCATCGGGAAATATGGAATAATTCAGTTTGATGCTTGATGAGCAGGATATGCATGCTAGCACTGGCCAAATGCTATTGGTGGCTAAAAGGTGGAAGACCACTTGCTTTAAGTGTGCATGTTCTCTTCAAAAATGTTCTCTTATGGGTCTTCAAAAATGAATGTGCAATTATGACACTTTATTTTCTGCTATTTATCTGAAAATAAGAAATATGATAAAATTAAATTATTTTAAAATATTTTTATGTGACAGAAGAGACATCAGACAACAAGAGCCGTCTTAATAATTTACGTGCATCTGGCAATTGTTTGTTTTAACATATTCCTGGCTAACAATTGTGCTAGTACATAACTATTACTTCAGCCTTTCTGCAACAGAAGTCTTATTTTACAGTGGCTTGAAGTGAAATTGTTGGTAAACTTTTTTATCTTAAATAAATTGACTGAAATGGTGTATATAAAAAGGCTTTGAATAATTTATCTGGCATGGGAGCTTTATACATTGTTCCCTAGTTCTTGAAAGAAGCCTGGGTGATAATAGAGCATCCTTTCCTTTCTAAACCATGCTAGGCATTGCCAAAGAACCCAGAACTCAAGGCAAATTACAATCAAAAGCAGAACATTTTCTTTAATGACGAATCTGTGGGATATATCTTTTCATTGCTGTCCATACTGAGAAGCATTCCCTACAATGCCTGTTAAAATGTTGTCTAGTTGCATACTGAATGCTGTTATATGATCAATCAACAAACCTTTATATCTTGTGGATAACTTCAATTTAGTTTAATAAATTGAAAAAGCACCTTGATCATTACCCAACATTATGTTTAATGAACACTATTTTAGAAACATGGGTCAAATCAAGTCAACTTTATTTATACCCCATCCTATCTTCCCTTGGGGACTCGGGGTGGGTATGCACAATTTTTCTAGATTTTTCTAAACCTGATTTAGAAAAAAATGGTTATGCTTTGCTATAATTGGTTAATTCATTTCCTGGACAAACCTGCATTCATCTGCCTCTTACTATTTATGCAGAAGACTTTAAAAATATTTTCTCCATCTAATTTAAAGAAGGACTAAAAATCACTGAGATTCAGTGTTATGTGAATGTAAATAAATTTACATTTATTCAGCTATTTTGTTTTAATGTATATTGTAAACCATTTTAACTCCCATATTTGAAGAAGGCAGAATAAAATTTGAATAAATTTGCTAAGATTTTTAGAGTAATAAATACATTCAGATCCTTTTCAGATGTTTAAATGCTTTTCTTAGTGAATATGTTTCCCTGCCATTTGAGTGGCTTAATTCTAGTTGTTACATTCCTATTGGAAACTCTGCATTTTCTTACTTTGATTATAACCAATATTATAACCAAGCTTTGAAGATGACATTGAGCAAACTTGTGTAGATAATAGGTCTCATGCTGGTTAGTTGAAAACAGAAACACATATGGTTAACTAGTAGATAAGATCATGCAAGTTAAGTGATTATTCATTTAACCCTAAAAAGAGCTTTTGGAATACAGACTCAAGAAGTGTTTCTAATATGATGAGATCTAAATGTTTCTGTATCATACAGCCCATTCAGAAGAACGCTTCATTTACAATTTACATTTACATTTACAATTACCTCTTACCCTGTTGTTTGAATGCATTAATTAAATTAATTAATTAATTATATCCAAACCAAGAACAGCAGCTAAGTGCTGTTAAATCAATGCTGCATGGCAAGCTCCAAGAGCAGGATCGAATGTGATTAGAGTTGTATTTATCACCATGCCACCAGTCTCCATGGCACCTATGGACTGGCAAAAACTAAACAAAAAGTTGTATTTGCTAAAGAACTTGAGAGTCAGAATGTTGACTGTGAGAGATACAACACATCCCAAAACCATTTTTATTTCATTTCTGCTTTATAGTGACCCAAAAGAAAATCTATCATGGGGTTTCCTTGGTAGAATTTATTCAGTTGGGGGCAAAATGCCCCCTCTAAGACTGAGAGAGAATGACATGTCCAATGTCTTCCAATGGTTTTGCGAAGCCGTGACTCCCACCGCTTGTTACTAAAAATTTAAAACCGTTCACTTGCTGCCACCAAAATATGTGAGGAAGTCTCCAAAATGAAATAATGGTGTAAAATCCCAAATAAATAGGATCACCACACAGATGTAATAAAGATTTGAGACTTCTAGCTTAAATTGCCACCATAATATAAGTGATATTGGTAAAAATGATCTCTGGTTATCCTTATCTGTGTTGTGAGGCACCTTGGGTAGTGTGGAATGCTTCAAACGTGGAAATCAGTGAAAGAGGCAAGTTTAAAACACAAAAAGAACAGGTTTATTGTTATCAGAGCGTAAATTGTTGCAAAATTAAACTGTTGAACTTGGCACAAGCTTGATGGATACAAAATGGCTTGGTTGAGTTACATTAAGTCTTCCGATGTTACAATCCTTATAACTCTTTCTACAGTGAGGTACTTTATTATTTCAGTGTTCCCTATTGTGAATATTTACAACTGTTTGTCCTTCACCGGATCAAACCAACGATCTCCAGATTTTCACCACTGGGATCCCTGAAACCCTTTCTTGTTAGATTCTTTTCTACTCAAGCAATCTAACGAGTTTCCACCTTCAGCTTCCTAGCTGGAATAATATTCACAAAACCTAAGAACTAACTGAATTTACACTACTCCACAGAGCCTCCTTGACTCTGCTACTCTCCTCAGGGTCTCATCCGCCTGACTGAAAATAAACTGTCGCTTTCAAACCTTTTTTACCTAAGCTCCGCCCACCTCCTCTGGCTTGTCACCATGGCAACCTATCTCTCTCTCAGCTAGGCCCTGGCCACAATGTAAAGCCTAAACACAGTTTGAAACACAGTATAATGAACACTTCTCTACAGTTTTCCATACTGAGGGGGATTCAAGTCCTGTTTTCCGAAGCCCCATCTACACTGCCATATAATGTAGTTTGAAAGTCAGTGTTCTGGTCCAACATTTTTTTCGTAGGAAGTCAAATCTAGCACAGCTTGATGCTTTGTGTTAGAATTCTCTATGTATACAAAAAATGAAACACTATCAAATATAATGTAACACTGAATGTAATTATCTTGTTTCCTTAGTCTCCATTTTCAAGATGTTAGAATATTTTCCCCATATAATACAAAAATATTATGATTTTAAAATTTTCAACATTTAATTTTTTAAAGAATTTTATAAACAAAATTCACTGATGTTATGAGTAGAATGCTACTTTGTAATAAATCTTGCGGACTTTAATATTTAATTGTCAGCAGAAACTTTTCTTATCTGCCTGTAACATCCTTTCCAAAGCTCTGGATATTATCACAGACAAGTCAAAGTAGTCCATATGAGGAACAAAGGCTTTTTTCCATCCTTCTCCCTGTTTTTTATTAATAGAAAAGATAGTTTCCCTTTTGGAAAACAAATTGGCATACTTTAAAAAACCAACAGAAAAATGTCTCAGAAGGTCATGAAAATCCCACACTCCCACTACCAATAATGTTTAAAGAAATAAATTGTGGGCTTTGATGGAAGTTGGCCCAAGCAGAAATCTCAAATTGTTTTCTGAGTTTCTGCAAGAAGATTCAAGGCTTATATAAGATTTTAACTAAAGCATCCTGGATTACACAAACCATTATAGACTTTTATGTGATGAAATATGATCTGAGTTGTAACTATAAGTGGAAAAAAGCTGAATTCTTCACCGGTTGGCTCTTAAGATACCTGGTTTTGATATGCACATCAAATAAGATGAGATATAAATCAGTGATGTTTTGTGTGTGTGTGTGTCAGGAGAGACTTGAGAAACTACAAATAGCTTCTGGTGTGAAAGAATTGGCCATCTGCAAGGACGTTGCCCAGGGGACTCCCGGATGTTTGATGTTCCTGTGGGAGGCTTCTCTCATGTACCTGCATAGGAAGCGGGAGCTGGCAGATGGGAGCCCACTCCGCTCCCCAGATTCGAACCGCCAACCTTTCAGTCAGCAGTCCTGCCGGCACAAGAGTTTAACCCATTATGCCACCGGGGGCTCCTAAATCAATTATGAAGACTAGTACTTGAAAAAAAAAATAGCTCCACAACACTGGCTTTTGGACTATATCTTCCTGCATGGAAAACCTTGCTGTCTGGGGCTGATGAAAGGTGAAACTCAGCATCTAGACCACTGCTTCTTAAACTGTGGGTCCTGACCCCAAATGGGTTCCCTTCAACATCCCGAAAAATGTGGCAATGTTGAAAGATTTCTGAACATCACCTAGTGGCTGTTTTAGACATGTACAGAAATCTTGTGTAGTGTTTACAGTGGAGTCTACAGAGGATGCTTTAGTTCTACTTCTTAAAAAGGAAGATCGGCCTTGCAAATGCTGATTTGTTACCAGTAAATGTTTTCTTTTTATACCTATTTCATATAACTATATGCCCAGGGTCATGTAAAACTTTCTCAGGTGGAAAGGGGTCTTAAGTGGAAAAGTTTAAGAAGCCCTGATAAAGTAAATAAACACTACCTTTTTATCACATTGATAGTTGTTGTTCATTCGTTCAGTCGTCTCCGACTCTTCGTGACCTCATGGACCAGCCCACGCCAGAGCTCCCTGTCGGCCGTTACCACCCCCAGCTCCCTCAAGGTCAGTCCAGTCACTTCAAGGATGCCATCCATCCATCTTGCCCTTGGTCGGCCCCTCTTCCTTTTGCCTTCCACTTTCCCCAGCATAATTGTCTTCTCTAGGCTTTCCTGTCTCCTCATGATGTGGCCAAAGTACTTCAACTTTGTCATGATGTGGCCAAAGTACTTCAACTTTGTCTCAGACCAAGCGTGATCCCTGGGGAAGGCAATGGCAAACCACTCCAGTATCCTTGCCAAGAAAACTAAAGATCAACATTGATAGTACATTAATAAATTCAAGCTACTTTAATAAACGGAAAAAGCACCTTGAGCATTATCCAAAATTACTTTTAATTATAAGCTATCTCCAAAACTTGGGTATAAACCAGGTATGGGAAAACTTCCTTGGCTGTTAGGAATTGTGAGACTTTAAGTCCAAAACACCCAGACAGCTAAAGCTTGCCCATGCCTGGTATACTATACACCAGGGGTCCTCAAACTAAGGTCTGAGGGCTGGATACGGCCCTCCAAGGTAATTTACCCGACCCTCGCTCAGGGACTCGCTCAGGGACTAAGTCTGAAACTACTTGAAAGTACACAACAACAACAACAACAACAATCTTATCAGCCAAAAGCAAGCCCACATTTCCCATTGAAAGACTAATAATTTATATTTGTTAAAACTGTTCTTCATGTTAATTATTGTATTGTTTTTAAGTGTTTTTGCATTACAAATAAGATATGCAGTGTGCATAGGAATTCATTTTTTTTCCCAATTATAATCTGGCCCTCCAACAGTTTGAAGGACTGTGACCTGGCCCTCTGTTTAAAAAGTTTGAGGACCCCTGCTGTACACTGTAAAAGATTTCTGAATGCCACCTAGTGGTTGTTTTAGACATTTACATAAATCTCTTGTACCATATTTACAGTGGACTTTGCAGAAGATCTTCAGCTGTACTTCATAAAAAGAAAAACCAGCCTGTTTAGCAAGCCTCACAAATGCATATTTATTATCAGCAAATATTTAATTTTATGCTTATTTTATGTACCTGGGGCCACACAAAAACTTCTCAGTTCAAAACAAAGGTCCATTCAGTGTGGTTGTTTTTCCCCTTTTGTTATTGTCCACAGTTTATGTCCAATAGAATAGAGAGAGGCAACCAACCATGTCTAACCATTTAACTTCTCGGCAAAATGAAAAGCATTGAAATAGCATTAGAGAAGTATTCTTGGCCACAAAACAATGGCAGAAATACAATTAGAAATGCACATGGCTGCATCTATGCTGTAGAATTAGTGCAGTTTGACACCATGTAACTACTATGAGGTTGTAGTTTGGTGAGGCACCAGCAGTCTTTGACATAGAAGACTGAAAACCTTGGAAAACTACAACTTCCAGAGTTTAATAGGAATTAAAGTAGTCAACTATTATTTCTAAGATGTTAATACCCCTCAGGGCCCTATCTACACTGCCATATAATGCGATTCCAAGCTAGATGCCCCTTAGCAGAGTGGGGCCAGGGCACTTTTATTTCTACAGCTATATGAATCAGCCAAGCTAAACTGCAGTGCAAGAACCCTCAGCCACGTCATTACTAACAGAGAGAGAGCACATGGGGATGGACTCCTCGCGAGAATATCTCAGCGGGCCTCTCCTCCGAGCAGCCACTCCGTCGCCATGGAGACCGCGTCTCTTAGCAACTCCTGAGCCGCGAGACGCGCGCCGGCGATTTCCCGGGAAAAGTTCGGAGTCAAGCACCTTGGAGGGCTCGCGCGCAGCAGGAGACCGAGAGCATGAAAAGCAGGGGCAGCCGCCCTTCCTCCTCCCCCTCCTCTTCCTCTTCCTCCCCCTCCTCTCCTTCCAGGCTCATTGATGTGAGCAATAATGCCCCGCTGCTGCTGCCGCCCCCCTCCACCACTGTAGCGGCGCCAAAAGCAGAGGTATGGACCACAGCCCTGCGTTGCTGGGCCAACATGGTTTGGACGCTACTTTTTGGACTCTGGTAACCAATGCAAGGGGTCTCTGTTAGTGCCTGGTAAGGGGGCAGCTACACTGGAGAATTAATGCAGTTTGACACCACTTGAACAGCCATGGCCCAATGCTATGGAACAATGGGAGCTGAAGTTTGGTGAGGGGCCAGCACTCTGGCAGAGAAAGCTGAAGACCTTGTAAAACTACAACTCCCACGATTCCACAACAGTTGAAGTGGGGCCAAACTGCATTAATCCCGCAGTGTGGATAATTCCCACGACTTGTATGTTTCAACTGGTAGAGTGTTCCTTGTCACTGCTGAATCAAAGCAAACCCTACAAACAAGGCAATGCCCTTTATTGGTCCATCAAGTCTTTTTGCATTTCGGTTGGACAATAAAGGTATAGCTCTTTTGTGGATTTGGAGGGTTTGTTTTGGTGTCTGTGCAACCAAGCTCGCTGTAACAAGAATGCAGGTTGGCATAATTTCAGAGGTCATGGCTTAGTACTATGGAATCACGGGAGTTGTAGTTTTACAAGGTTTGCATCCTTCACTACTGATGCAAGAGTGCTGGTGCCTCACCAAACAACTAATCCCAGCATTCCATAGCCCTTTTCTGTGTCAGGAGCAACTTGAGAAACTGCAAATTGCTTCTGGTGTGACAGAATTGGCTGTATGCAGTTTAACAAGTTAAACATGAGCCAACAATGTGATGTGGTGGCAAAAAAAGCCAATGGGATTTTGGCCTGCATAAATAGGAGCATAGTGTCTAGATCTAAGGAAGTAATGCTACCCCTCTATTCCGCTTTGGTTAGACCACACCTGGAATATTGTGTCCAATTCTGGGCACCACAATTCAAGAGAGATATTGACAAGCTGGAATGTGTCCAGAGGAGGGCGACTAAAATGATCAAGGGTCTGGAGAACAAGCCCTATGAGGAGCGGCTTAGGAGCTGGGCATGTTTAGCCTGAAGAAGAGAAGGCTGAGAGGGGATATGATAGCCATGTATAAATATGTTAGAGGAAGTCACAGGGAGGAGGGAGCAAGCTTGTTTTATGCTTCCCTGGAGAGGACGCGGAACAATGGCTTCAAACTACAAGAAAGGAGATTCCATCTGAACATGAGGAAGAACTTCCTGACTGTGAGAGCCGTTCAACAGTGGAACTCTCTGCCCCGGAGTGTGGTGGAGGCTCCTTCTTTGGAAGCTTTTAAACAGAGGCTGGATGGCCATCTGTCAGGGGTGATTTGAATGCAATATTCCTGCTTCTTGGCAGGGGGTTGGACTGGATGGCCATGAGGTCTCTTCCAACTCTTTGATTCTATGATTCTATGATTCTATGACTTTGTCCAGGGGATGCCTGGATGTTTTGATGTTTTACCACCCTTGTGGGAGGCTTCTCTCATGTCCCCACATGAGGAGCTGGAGCTGACAGAGGGAGCTCATCTGTGCTCTTCGCAGATTCGAACCTGCTACCCGCCAGTCTTCAGTCCTGCCAGCACAAGGGTTTAACCCACTGTGCCACCAGGGGCTCCTATTCCATAGAACTGACCCAGAGCAGTTCAAGTGGTGTCAAGCCACATTAATTGTTGAGTCGGTAAGGCTGCTCTGAGTCCCCTTCAGGGTGAGAAAGACCGGATATAAATGTAGTAAATAATAAAATAATAATTAGAGTTATTGAGGTGAGAAAAACTGCCTCCCAAGCCACTTCGTCACATTCATTAAATATTACTGAGCCACCCACTTAAGAAATGGCAACCTATTGTGTTCATCACATGGCGTAGGCTTCAAGTGTAGGGTAGAGATACCTTGGTGTTTAAAAAGGGTTGCAATAATAATTCTCATTATTATCGCTGCATCTGCTGCTTGAATGCCTGGTCCCACAACCATGTTTTTAAGTTTTTTCCTAAAGGATCACAAGGAGGGGGCCAATCTGATTTCATTAGGGAGGGCATTCCACAGTCGGAGGGCTACCACTGAGAAGGTCTTGTCTCTTGTGCTAACCAGCTGTGCTTGCAAGAGTGGTGAGATCGAGAGCATGGCCTCCATCGATGAGCTTAATCTTCGAGGTGGGTTGTAGAGGAAGATATGTTCAGAAAAGTAAGCTGGGCCGGAACTGTTTAGGGCTTTATAGGCCAAAACCAGCACTTTGAATTGTGCTCAGTAGCAGATTGGCAGCCAATGGAGCTGATGTAACGGTGGGTGATATGCTCCCTGTATGCTGCTCCAGTGAGCAACCTGGCTGTTGCCCGTTGGACTAGTTGAAGCTTTCAAACAGTCTTTAAAGACAGCCCCTTGTAAAACACGTTGCAGTAATCTACTTGGGATGTAACAAGAGCATAGACCACTGTGGCCAAGTCAAATTTCCCAAGGTACAATGGCAGCTGACACACAAGTTTTAATTGTGCAAAAGTCCTGGGGTTCCAGGCTCAACAATAAATCACTCCCAAGCTGCAAACCTGTGTCTGAATAGCAACAGAAAAGCAAACATTGTGCATATGGTGATGAGGTGACAAGTTCACTTTTAATGATGATAGCGACGATAGTACTTTTGAACTGTGGTGATGGAGGAAAATTCTGAGAGTGCCTTGGACCGCGAGAAGATCAACCAGTCCATCCTCCAGCAAATAAAGCCTGACTGCTCATTGGAAGGAAGGATATCAGAGGCAAAGATGAAGTACTTTGGTCACATGATGAGAAGACAGGGAAGCTTAGAGAAGACGATGCTGGGGAAAATGGAAGGAAAAAGGAATAATAATAATAATAATAATAATAATAATAATAATCCAATAATAATAATAAAAAACAGTAAAGGTGGTCCCAGTGGTGATCGGCACACTGGGTGCAGTGCCTAAAGACCTTGGGCTGCACTTAAACACAATCGGCGCTGAGAAAATTACCATCTGCCAGCTGCAAAAGGTCACCTTACTGGGATCTGCACACATTATTCACAGATACATCACACGTTGGAAGTGTCTGACGTGTGATCCAATTTAACAGCCAGCAGAGTGTGCTGTGGAGTCATCTTGTTGTGTTTCTAATAATAATAATAATAATAATAATAATAATAATAATAATTTTATAGTATTAATATTAATATTATTATAATATATTAATATATTAATAATAATAATAATAATAATAATAATAATAAACAATTTTATTTGTACCTTGTCACCATCTCCCCAAGGGGGACTTGGGGCGGCTGACATTACGCCAAGCCCAAAATTACAGTACAGCAAAATACAATACTAAGAAGCAGAAATAACATCAAAGTAAAATACATGAAATAACAAAATAAAAGAAACAGTTACAAAATAACATGATAAAGAAATAGAACACAGTGGGTGGGACAAATGCACTAGGATAAAATGGATAAAACCCTGGATGAGATAGGTAGTGGGAGAATGTGTTTCTGAGGGAGGAGCTCAAAAGGAACAAACAATGGCGTTAGACCTTCATTAAGGGTGGGGGGAAAGTGCTTCATGAGGATGGAAACTGTAGTTGGAACAGAAAAATTATGGGATATATGTTCACTTGCCAAAGGCACCTCAGAAGAGCCAATTTTTTAGGTCTTTCTTAAAAGCTGCCAGGGTAGGGGCTTGCCTAATCTCACTAGGTAACGAGTTGCAAAGTTGAGGGGCCACAGTGGAGAAGGCTCTCTCCCTTGTCCCCACAAGTTGTACTTGTGATAAAGGTGGGGGTGAAAGGAGGGGCAGACCAAGGGCAAGACGGATGGATGGTATCTTTAAAGTGACTGGCTTGACTTTGAAGGAGCTGGGGGTGGCGATGGTTGACAGGGAGCTCTAGCATGACTGGTCCATGAGGTCACGAAGAGTAGGAAGCGACTGAACGAATAAAAAATAGTGATTGGGGGGAGGGCAAAGGTGGGATGAAAGAGGTTGCCTAATATAGTAAGCAATTTAAAATGATTTTCTTTGGAAAACATGGAAAATATTTTCAGGCCCATATATTCTAGTAATAGGAATGGTTGAGTGAGCACTTTTATATAGTATCCTTTTGTTTTGAAAAAAAGAAGGTATGTTCCTTGTTGCCAGCCTTCCTGTTTCTGTACCTTGCAGCAAGCCCTCCTGCCTTGGCCTCGTGTGGTTCACTTAACCCTCTGATCTGCTTTGATCGCTTTTTGTATAGGCCAAGAAGTGTCTTTATTTTTGGAGAACCTGAAACATTCTTTCTCAAACCTAGCAAATGCTTCTCCTAACTTTGATCAGCAGACCCTGGTGGACAGTCTTTGGCATTTCCCCAAGAAATGAACACATTATAAGCTGCATGTCATTGCCTTCACTTTTATCCCCAGATCTGAAACTTCAACAGGCACAACCATTTCCCTCTCCCACTTTTGAAGTCTAGATTTGGAAGTTTTTCTTTTAAAATAAACCAAACCAACTTGTTCAGTAGTAAATCTTTCCAAGACTTTAACATATTAAAAGACCATAGTTAGTGAAACAGTATTGTTAAGAACATTGTACAGCAGCCAAAGCAAATACAGAGTGGGTGGGAAGGCACCTGCACTGTATTTGTATTCTGAAACAAGTAGCAATGTAATATTTGAAAGAAAAATCCCCATTCAAACATTGCCATGATATATACAGAGAAACTTTTGTTACTAATGACCATCTACACTGCATTTTAAGGAAGTTATCTTATAGCCCATCTACACTTTAAAACTGCATTGTATGGTCAATGTAGACTCATAATGCAGTTAGTGCAGTTAACCTGCATTATATGAATCTAGACTGACCATACAATGTACAGTTTCAGTGTAGATGGGGCCACATTTGTGGATAAAGACAGGTGATTTTTTCTCCCAACTCCCAGGCTAGATCAATGCAGCCAAATAATCCAGTTTGGACCAAGCATTGGCAAACTTGGGCCTTCTCGGTGCTGCTTAAGTGGCTGAGGGGGAAAAGGAAGGGGCATGAGGCTGTTAGGAATGGTGGGAGTTGAAG